TAGTATCAGTTTTGAAACTCGTTTTTAAGGAGTTTTTTAAAAAAATATTTTCTGAACCATGTGAGAACACGTATGTACGTTGCATAACTCTTAATTTAATATTTTGTCAAAATGACCACTCGTAAAAAAAAAAAGTTGATTTTTAATCCGTCACGATAACCAGGTTTACTGCATATATATAAGAGGTATGGGAAAATATGAAAAAAACAAGATGTGTTTGTGAAACACTGATGCCCCCGTATGGCAACATAGCGAAGGTTAAGCTTTCTCAAATGCATATCAGATATGTTGGTACCAATTAAGGCCTTTTTACAAGAAATGCGAAATATAAAACGCTAGCTAAAACTGTTCCAGGGTTATGACCAAGGTTAACATTTATAATACAGGAAAAACTAAATTTCAAGGTGAAAGGGTCAAGGTTGTTGGGTTCTAAAGAAAGGCTTTGTCTCAATGATTACGTATGGGAAGTATGAAAGCGCTGGCCCTTACCGTTCAAAAATTATGACCAAGTTTAAAGTTTGTAAAAGGTTGGTCAAACTCTAAGGTCAAGGTCAAAGGGTCAAGACTTGAAATCCAATGAAAGGTCTTGTCACAAGGATTACACATGTGAAATATGAAAGCTCTAGCCCCCACTGTTCAAAAGTTATGGTCAAGGTTAATGTTTATGAAAAGTAAGTCAAACTCCAAGGTCAAGGTCAAAGGATCAAAGTTCTTGATATCAAATGAAAGGTCTTGTCACAAGAATTAAATTTGTAAAGAATGAATGCCCTAGCCCGAACCCTTTAAAAATATGGTCAATGTTGTATTTTTAAAGTAGGTCAAACTCCAAGGTCAAAAGGTCAAAGTTCTTGGTATCCAATGAAAGGTCTTTTTATCAAAATTATATATGTGAAGTATGAAAGCCGTAGTAAATATTGTTCAAAAGTTATAGCCAAGGTTAAAGTTTTTTCTTAGGTACAAAAATCTCCAAGGTCAAGGTCAAAGGGTCAAAGTTGTTGGTATCAAGTGAAAGGTCATTTAACAAACATTATATATGTGAAGTATAAATGTCCTGGTGACTAGTGTTCAAAAGAATTTTAAAATTTTCAAGTAAAAGTGGTTCAAACTCAAAGGTCAAGGTCAAAAGGTCAACTTTGGTGGTACCCAAAGAAAGGTCTTGTCACAAGAAATACACATATGAAATATGAAAGTCATAGCTCCACTAAATCAAAAGTTATGGGCAAGGTTAAAGTTTTTACGGACAAACAGACAAACAGAGAGACAGAGAGACAGACAGAGTGACAGAGAGACAGAGAAACAGACAGAGAGACAGAGAGACAGACAGACAGACGGACGGACACGACAAAAACTATATGCCCCCGAAACTTCGTTTACGAGGGCATAAAAAATTGAAGCATGCAAGAAGCAAATGGTGTTATTAAACGATGCATTCTAGGCATTGGAAATAATATGATTCCTGTGAAAAAAATAGGGATATACATACTGAGCAAAATAAGTTTAGCAATTTAAGAAATTTACTATAAAGCAAAGTAAAAAAGATAGACACAGGACTTACAATTAAATTGTTATGTGAGCTTGTTTTCATATAACAAACTAAGGCAAATTTTATCCACAATTGTCTGCTGTTTTGTAACAAATATCGTACAACTGATCACGGATACGGGTTTGAAAAGTTCAATTCAATTTCAATATTGTGTTAGGCCTCCAATTGCAGCAATAACAACAACACAGCGCGGGGTCTCATGCTCCTGCTCATAAGGTTTCTTATCTCAAGCAAGGTAATCTGGTTCCACTCCTGATGCAGGGCAAGGGTCAGTTCTGCTACATTATTGACGTTATATCATTATCTTAAAGGACGACCAAGAATTCCCAAACCTGTTCAACTGGTGACTTATCATGCGATATTGCGATCACAAATCTTAACATCATTCTAATGACGGACAGCTTGTATGTAGTGCGGAATGCGGACGGGCATTAATAATAATCCATGCGACGTTGGGTTGTCGATGAGGTTGAGTTGGTTGTACTGCTGCGAGAGGTTTTCGAGTTCAAATATTCAATTGACTAAACCTTTCTGGTTTATTACAGTCACTTTGTCCACATAACCTCGGTCCAGTTGTTTTTGTCAGTCAGGCGTTATTATCCTTCTGTCTGTTTGTTGTCAAATATAACCTTCGCAATAATTTTTGAACCGTGAAAGACTTCATATTTGGTATGCATACCCCACTGATTCAGCTCTTGCAAAAGGTTAATGACCATGTGTCCTTGACTGTGACCTATATGCTAAAATAAGTTTTTTCTAACTTTTGCCGTAACTGTTGAACCATGAGAGAAAGAGACTTCATATTTGGAATGCCTACTTCGCTTATTACGTTCTTTAAAAAACATCAAGGTCATGACTTTTTCACACTGACTCTGACCTCTACACTAAAGTAAAATAATAGTTTTTTCGAACTTTGTTGCCTCTGGGCGCAAAGTGTTTCGCAACCACATATTGTTATTTCATATGTAAGATTATGAATAAAGTCTACTTCAAATACAAAATGTATTACAAAAATAGGTCTGCTCATAACAAAGCGCAATTTCTACATTCAGTTAGTTTAGTAACATTGAGAAAGTAGACGTACAGGAACAAAAGATTTTGTCACGTATTATTTACAATCCTAATTTTTTTTATCTAACAACATGATGCAAGACAATGAAGGAAAAAAGAACTTGAATTAAGTAAGTTTTAACTATCAAATTACTGTGCTGTTGATATTTTGTTCTTTTAGATGCTTTAAAAAATGAAAATGTAATTGTCATTCCTCGCCATCACTTTGAAGCTTATTCTCTGCAATGAAATCTCCAGGCTTGTATTCTTCATAGGAAGTAAACATTATCAAATGGAAATATAAAAGGTTAAAAATATATACATCTATACTTATAAATTAACAAATTTTGCAAATAAACTCTGAAACGGCTGCACAAGAGTTCTCACTAAAGCCTGTAGGAATACACTAGGTATAAGGTGATGTCTGTAAACCATATTCAGATTTCACTCGCATAGTAATTATCGTAAGTATCGTGAATATATCTTAGTATGTTGTGCTAATGTTTTATAAATAAATGGCCATGGTTATTTGTTTAGACAAATAAAATGGTAAACTTTTATTTTTTAAGTAATTTACTTAGATGCTTTAAAAATGTGTTCTTTGATGAATACATTTCAGTTGCCTTTATACTTACAGTCTTTTATTTTGAAAATTTATTTATACCTCTTAGGGCTGTATGTACATTTGAGATAAAAAGGTAGCCCCCCCCCCCTTACAGCTGTATTTGAAAAATTTCTTATATGTAGTAAATGATGTGTAATATAGTACAACAGAATAAAAATGCTTTATAAAATGTAAGAAGTAGAGGCCTTTAATGCAACAGATATTTGTAGAAAAAAAAATCCAAAAATATTAGGAAATGTATTTTTTATAATTATCTATTTCTGCCCCTAAACTAATTGCGGGACTTTGATATATTTCGTCATGCTATATTCCTGTGTACTAAACTGTCAATAGAATCTGAAAGATAGTTTATTCAATTTTTCTGTAAAAAAAAATTAATTTTCCCCGCGCTTGCGCGGGAATTTAGCTAGTGTTAATATAAAGGTGTAAACAATATTATCACAGATACATCAATTAATGCCCCTATAAGAAATCTGTTAAATATTACACCGTCGTCGAAAGATCTTTACGGATTTTTTTTATCCCAGTTAGAATTTTTCTTTTTTTGTGTGCCATTTTTGTTTGCCTGGTAGTGCGTAGGAAAAAAATCAAGATGTAGAAAGATATGAAATAACTTTGTGCAAATGGGGACCTGCGTACATGTGGCCTGATATTAATTATTGGTCAGCTTCTAAGGAGAGAATCATCTGTTCCTGTGATTTATGTTTTGGAACTTATCCACGTGAACCTACAGGCCTGTAGATCGCTTAGAAAAAAATTGAGTTGTTGAAAAAAAATAAAGATATGGAACTCTTTTCATGGGGTACCCACATTCGCCAATAAAACTCTTTTCAATCAAATGCTTTACAATTTTACTTTCTATCCATATCTATTCAAATATAAACAACCTTCATTACTACCAAAGTTCATTCCGTAATTCCTTATACTTCTCGAGATATTTTGAAATCAATTTCCAAATTGACAATAATTTTTTTACTCGACATCAGCTTGGGCCTTCACTAATTGTAAAGCGGGAACGACGGGACACATTTTCCTCGGAATTTATTCTAAACTCAATGAATATTTGCTCATTTGCATTCAAGCTTTACAAGGTTTTTCTTTAATTTGATCATATGGTATTACTAAGTCATATACAACATTTTAGCGGTGTAATTGTTTTGAAAATCGAAAGGTATAATTGTAATGCATTCCGGGAAAAATTCGTTCTACCATGGCTTCATTTACATTCATAATCAACATGGCGGTAGTTGTTGATGTAGACGTTTTCAAATTAATTTTTCGCGAAAGGAATATTATTACGGTCTTAACCACTGTTAACGTTACAATCTGGAGTAAGAAATAAACTTTAAATTGTTGAAAGATTTTGCAAATATTATGCAACTCTTCGCTGCACTTCAAACACCGTCTGTTTACATGTTGTTCATCAATGAGTATATAATACATATATGTATCGATATTATTTTCTCGATCATTTAACTCTGGGGTTTTCTACTATTAATAATATGACAAGTTTGAACTTATGTTTAACTTTTCTTGATGTTATATGAGTTCTAAAGTGATAATGTTGTAAATTTTGCATTAAAATCCCCAAAGAAAACAAATAAACGTCATACAATTTGAATTTAAAACATGTTGAGTACCATTTGACGAATGGGCTAGATATATATATAAACAGTACAGGAAATTCTTACGTCAAATGCCCGACATCTTGCTTCAGAGAATTATATTAATTAGATGTTTTTACAAGCACATACACTCTTCATAAGTTCCTCGTCGAAAGAAAAAGTCGTTTAAGATTGCGTTTCATATTAAGAAGAGAAAATGGGTTGTTTTCAAGAACTAAGGAGAGGAGAATCCTACAAGTTGAATACCAATCTTTGCGTTTCTGTGTCAATACTCGGATTTTTTCTGACTTTAGGAATAGGAATTTTCATATCATCTGTTGCGTATCTTCACACATTTGATAGAGTTTGTGTTTGTTCGTCACAAGAAATTTTCAAGCAGTCCGTTTCAGGAGATTGCACATCACAGACCAGTCCGGTTGTCGCATCGACCTCTAAACCTACCGGAGATCAAGGTATGACTGGAGATCAAGGTATGACCGGTGATAAAGGTGTGACCGGAGATCAAAGTACAACCCTCGGTGATGATTTAAATGGCTGAACATATATATGTTAGAGTTACATGCTAACATCACTCGTAATCTGCCTATTTATAACCATTCCCCCTTTTATAATTACATATAAAAATTGCCGATATAGTGGACTGTGTATGCCTTTTCATGTAACATGTCTAGGACTTTTTTGTTTAGTACTTTAGATTTTTTTTGCATCCAATCCTATATTATTAGGGTTCATGTATGATCTCTTCTTATTTTCATTGTAGATATGTTATTTGCTCTTTACTGCTACCCAAACAATTCGTTTTTCTGTTTTTCTCGTGACTTTTTTTTTATTTGTTTCTTTTTTGTTACATCGTTTTTTTATTTACTCTACAAAAAAAAATGTGATGTATTCTTTCCGAACAATTATTTTATTTTTTGATTTGACACTTATATTTATTCCTATATGCAGCCTGAGTACCAACCCTACATTATCATCAAATTTAATTTGTTATAACGAATTCAATGACTCTGTAATAACAGATTTAATTCGTTATAACGAATTCAATGAATCTGTTATAACAAATTAAATCCGTTATTACGTATTCAATGAATCTTTTATAACGAATTCAAAAATATTTTTTGATAGGTCCTAAATTGGCCTCCGTAGTCTTTGAAAGTATAATGCTGGTTGACTTAGACTGATTCTGATACAACAACCCGCCATGCTATGTGTTCACGAAACTGCGAAAGGGGGGGGGGGGTGAAGAGGATAACATATTCTGAGGAACTGTATATAGCTGGGGAAAGGAAAGGAACGGTATTATGATAATGAAATGAATACACTGAAGAAATATTTTCGTATTCATTCTTTTCAAAGTTTGTGGTTAATTATTTTTACATTGACAAATCTCATTTTATTCATCATAGGCATACATTTCCAGCGCTTTGGGTAATATGCAATCCAGTCCCTTCTTCAGCATTCATCCTGTACATTTACCTATGTGTATTAACCTCAGTTTATCTAAAATATTCTCAATTAACATACTAATTCGTTTGTGTCTGAAGATGTGTTACTATATAAGATAAATAAATAATAAATCAAATTATGAATATTCTCTGTGAACCTAATCGTGAGAATATACCAGTTAAATTTCAACCCATTCCCAAAGAAAAAGTCATGGGGCGTGAAAATGCGTCAGAGATCTGCCTTTTTCTAATTAAAAAATGGTTGATATTATCGAGAAATTTTCCATATTATTATTGGGTTGATCCTTTTTTTATGGAGAAAAAAAGGCTTTAAGTGTAACTTTAATTTTATTTAAAAAAAAATACCAAGGAATTTTTTTTTGGAATACTGCAAACCAACTTAAATTGGCATAGTTTTTATTCGCCATTTGCAAGTGGAGAATCTCTCTACGACAATTAAAATATCATTTATCTTAAATGTCTTTGTGATTATTGGCTGGTGCTGAAAAAAATATTTGCAAGTAAAAGCATATCGCAAAACATACAGAAAACGAAGTTGGTTAACAGTACAGTGTATAAAAATATCAGTTGAACTATCTGGCATTTCTTTGGATTTTAAGATAATTAGTTAAATTCAAACTTTATTTTATTCGCTTTCGACTAAAATCAAAATATACAAATCCTTTTTTACCCACATTCATAATATGAAACCCTTTTTTTTAAAGGAAATTTTTGACATATGGAGAAATGGTGTTCACTCTGTTCAGGTACATATCGGTCATAATAGACCTATAAGCAGTCTAAGGAATAAACTGCAAATCATTTCTCCATATGAAGTTCATGTATTTTATAAGACCAAAAGATATCTTAACAAAATTGATGATATTTGTTAATACAAAAGAAACAAAGTGATCTGAGTAACTTCAACATTTATTACAGGCTTTCCCTGGAAAGTGTTTGGGAAATCCCAGTATCTACATGTCAAGAAACAAATTAGATGGCTAGATGCTCAGGTAACAATGATAAACCAAGATTTATAACTGTATAATAAAATCCCTTACAATCTAGTATAAAAGTGAAGCATTTCATTTTTATCTAGGATTAGATGAAATATATGTAGATTAATAATGAACAGTATTCAAGCTCAAAATTCATTAAACAGTACAAAATAGGAGCAGAGCAAAAACGGATTTCTAAAACATCAGAGGTAGGATTAGGCGCCATGGAGGAGTGAGCATCTCGTACCAACCGGTCATATCCGTCGTTAGCTCCTTGTCATGATTGGGATATAAAATGAATTTAGAAAATTAATTTAATAAAGGCATCTTGAAAAAGAAATGTTTTAAACTATGCTTTTTATATGACTTCCAGATTTATATAAGAAAAAATTGGCTTTTTCGTTTTTAAAAATGCTGATACCACTTTTCTTCCTGTATTCTCAAATTACTTTAACAAGATTCTAAATCTGTTTTTTCTGATTTAGATACTATTTTACTCTTTATCTTTTTATTGCATAATCTTGACACCAGCTATTGGCTGGTGAAAGAACATCTTCAACTTTTTTTTAAGAGGAAGAATTCCAATACTACTTTTTCTTCCTTTTCTTTTCTGATCAAAATTTGTCGGTTGTCTGTCGTCGTCGTTGTTGTCGTGAACTTTTCACATTTTGGACATCTTCTCAAGAACCACTTGGCCAGTTTCAACCAAACTTGGTACAAAGTAGCCTTAGGTAAAGGGTATACAAGTTTGTTCAAATGAAGGGCCATGCCCTTATTCAAGGGGAGATAATTCAGAAATAGTGAAAATTTGATGGTATGTTTTAAAAATCTTTTTCTCAAGAACCACTGTGCCAGGAAAGATGAAACTTATACATGTAGGAAGGCATCTTCAGGAAATGTAGGTTCAAGTTTGCTCAAATCATGACCCCCGGGGGTAGGGCGGGGCCGTTATAGCCTATCAAAATTTTACATAGAAATATTTAGGAAAATTCTTATAAAATCTTCTCAAGGACCACTTTGCCAGGACAGATAAAACGTATAGGGAAACATCCTCAGGAAGTGAAGATTCAAGTTTGTACAAATCATGATCCCCGGGGGTAGGGCTGGGCCACAATAGGCGATCAATGATTTACATAGAAATATATAGGAAAATTCTTCTCAAAAATAGCAAAAGAGTGAATTATCATATTCTTATGGAAGCATCCTCAGGTAGTGGACATTCAGTTTTGTTCAAATCATGACCACTGGGGGTAGGGTGGGGCCACAACATGGAATCCAACTTTTACATAGAAAAAAAATATTTGAAAATCTTCTTTAAAGAATAGCAAAGCCATGATTAGTCATATTAATATGGAAGCATTCTCAGGTAGTGTAGATTCAATTATGTTCAAGTCATATGACCCTGGGGGTAGGACGGAGCCACAATGTAAGTTCAAATTTAAAAAGCAATAAAGCCATAGGTAGTCAAATATGCAAGTATCCTTAGTTAGGGTAGTTTCAAGTTTGTTCAAATAATACACTCTCCCTTTTACGGATTGGTTGGGACCATTATTGGGTTTAACCTTTTAAATAATAAACATTGCTGCTTTTTTCCTAGCCACATTTCTCAGGTGAGCGATTTGGCCCATGAGTCCCTTGTTTTCTTTAATATGACTCAGATAAAACTTGATATAACATTTTTGAATAAGTTTTCTTATTATATCACAAATGTAATAAGTTTCGCTATATACCCTGAAAAATGCCGAGTCACACCGGGAACAGTTATGTCACGCCGGAAACAGTTATGTCACCTCCGACGGAAACAGTTATATCATCCTTTCGATCACGTTCACGTGTTTTTACGTTACGCATTTTAGTTCGGGTTCGAGATTTTATGACGTCGGTTGCTAAGCAAGAGTAAACAACACAATGTATTTCTAAAACGTCAAGCAGGCATTTTTGGATAATTTGTGTACATTTTAACGATTTTGAATGATTTTAAATTTTCTTTTAATTTTAAAAATGTCATATAACATATACCACATGCCTTCTCGGGCGACTATACCAGAATATTTGCCCCTCGGTGACAGGAAAGCCCTGGAGTGTTATGTCACCCTCTTCCTTCGGCATCGGGTGACATAACACTCCAGGGCTTTCCTGTCACCGAGGGGCAAATATTCTGGTATGTCACCCTCGAAGCACATGTGATATATGTATAATATTGTTCTTAAATTTCATTTCAAATTTGAAGATGTAACTGACACTATAGATTTAAAAGACAGTTATAACGGTAACCGATGTTGTGAAACATGTATGCTAGTTTGTGTTTTATAGTTTAAGATTTAATTTGCATTACAAGAATAAAATTTAAAATGAAGTGCAAAACATTATTATTGTAAGTACACGTAAAAATGATTGAATAACTAATGAATTCATCTTTCAACAGCTGACCTAACTAATAGGAGTTTTCGATTTTCGACTTATCTTAATTTTTATATTGCGTATATTGTAACACTGATTTAAAAATTGGACAATTGCTACATATTGTAATGAAAAAGGTGTATGTTACGATATAATATTGATAGAAAATTCTGAAAATCAGTACAACTTTGTAAACAGGACAAAAACGCAAACCACAGGAAAAATCTACGTTTGGATAAGGTGACAAAGAGGGGTAAACTTCTCCTGTTGATCAGTCACTCCGGCAATGAGCCCTCTATAATAATAACTTATATCATCAACTTCTCCTTTTTACGTAGCAGTTGCTACTATCACGTGTCTGAAATCTGTGTTTTTAATATGAAATACGGGGAACACGTTCTTTAACGAACAATTTCAACAAATTCTATTGTCGACACCATTACTTTGTTTGCAAATACAATTAAAAAAAAAAAAGGTTTAAAATAAATGAATTTTTATCAACAGATTGAATGTCTAGAACTAGGGGCAAAATTAGCAGAAATAGAGACCTTGGAAGAAAACATCTTTCTAAAGAACATGGCAAGGAAGAATTCTTATGGTGAGATCATTTTTGGTAATGTACATGTATGAGGATTTCATGAAACAAAATAGAGATTTACCTTCTTGGTCATTGTTTGTAAATACAGTTGTAAATTGTTTTCCTCTACATTTTGATTTAGGTTTCGGTCTTAAAGATCATTGATACTCTGATAAGGGAGATAACTCTCAATGACAAGAATGTCTACTATTCCTTTATAGATTTGCAAAGTTGAAATATCTTTTTTTTTAGATTTTGTCCCACAAGCTATCTCATAATTGTTTGTATTTTACTTGTAAAATACATTTCTTTTGGAAAATCATAAAGGTTCAGTCAACATTTCATATGGGTGAGCAGAGGGTTTTTTGAACACAAATTGCTAAAGTGTCTTTTTTTCTTATGGTTCAAATTGAGTGTAATTGGCCAAATCTTTCATTAATCATTTAAAAAGATTCTTAGACAAATTAGATGCATTTAAAAAGAAACAAAATTCTGATTTGTTAAAGGCAACACATTTATCGGAGGGACAGATGCCTACTCACAACACAGATGGAGATGGTCAACAACATTTAAAGCAGTGACGTACACTGATTGGGGAGTTGGCAAGCCTGATTTATCGGGAGGTGATGAATGTATGGGTTTATCTATTCACTTTGACATGTCGTGGGATGACATGTACTGTGATCAATATCAACCATCCTTCATGTGTGAGCGGTTAATTGCATGAACGCAAAAAGAAGAAAATTAACAAGATCTTGTTTGTATGAACCTAGCTAGGAAGATCTATATTTTCTGTAAATTTTGTTTATTTTAATATACATTTGTCGGATCAGATATTCAATGTAATCAAAAGCTAAATGATTAAATATGTGCACACACTATCTTCAGTTTACTCATATGGAAATTCCTGATCTAGAGGTGGTTTCAGATGTGTAGATGCAGAAAACTCTCTCTCTCTCTCTCTCTCTCTCCCTCTCTCTCTCTCTGTGTTGTTAGCCTTCCTCGGGTTTAAGGATTGAGCATGAAAATAGGGCATGATATTGCTTATAGAATAAGTGACAATAAGAGACAAAAATCAAATACAAAAGATAGAGAAATACTTCTACAGAATTAGCAAACTTTTAAGGTTGATTGATGATGGCAATGCTGAAGTCAACATGTCTAAAAAAACCATTGGTAGCAGATGTGGAAGACTCCGTGGTGGGTTTAGTTGAAGAAACCTAATACATGTATAAATATAGTGGTTAAAAACATAACAGAAACATAAAAACATGATGTGTAAAACAACTGAATTGGTCATTTCTAATTTCCAATATCGACTTGTCAGCTCGTGTTCGGGAAATACCCAGGAGGTTTTGCCATGGTAAGATATGTTTAACTTGTTCTGTAGTAACCTGGGCGGTGCCAATTCACATACAGCATTCATAATTTAAGTTGTAAAATATATGTAGGGTGAATTCACCTAGTAATTACACATGTTCTAGCAATATCACTACTGATTACATATTGTCAAAATAGAATTTAACATGTTTTATGTTATAAAAATATAATTTTTGACAAGATTCTATGCAATTCATTGAGAAAATATCACTTAAATCGATTTTTTGGAAATGATTCAGAATTTACCATGGATTGGACACAATTCACCATCCATCGTACTAACGATAATGGCCCGGAAAAATGTCGTAGCATTGATTTGGTGCTTTGATTTTACTTATATAAATACTGAAATACCTTTATCTTTTATTTAAATATTAACCTTCTAGTTGAATGTGATTGAATATGTCTACCACAAAGTGGAATTATTTTAGTTGCATCATATCGTATAATAGAAAGTCTTTACAGTGCTAGTTATATTGCCATCTCCTTCTTTGTCTCAATATTTAGACGTCATATATCGATTATATGTATTTTCATTGAAAAATAAGAGTTTTCATTGTTTTTGGCTAAAAAAGCTGTCACATGGATTCTGTATAAAAATGGATGCGTTTAGCCATGCCGGGAAATGTCCAATGTATGATTAGGGACCAGGCAAAATTTATCACAATGATGGGACCGGTACAAATAGGCATTGGACAATGAGTTTTTTCATCCAAGAAAACCATGTTTTTGATGCAACAATGTTATTAAATCAAGATGTATCGGGGGTAACTTTTTTATAAGTCTAAAGGCATGGGACAGATATTTATTTTAATACGAGTGTCATGGAACACGTACGTTTTTGAAAAGAGAATTTTGTTTTGTACTGGTCCCATCATTGTTATAAATTTTTCCTGGATCCTTAATTTGCGTCCATGGTATATGTCCGGTGAAATGAAGTAACAGACAAATCTAAAAATATACAAAAATTTTGTTTAAATTTCGTTAAAAGTTTTGTAAAATTACCCATCATTGATAAATTTTACCTACCGGTATTTTAGACTTGTTGGTTGAAGTCCAATTAAAAGAATGACAACTCTTAAAACTTTAAAGGTCATTCCCGTGGTACTTTTATCATGATAACATGAAAACATCGATGTAGCTATCAACTGTCGCCTGGGATAAAAGTAAACAATGGAAATAAGTCTTGATCATCAAACCACTTCGATTTGCTGAGTTGCCTGCGTGGCACAGTAGATAGAACGTCTGCTCTAGAGTCGCAAAGTAAAGAGTCGATCCTTTTAAAGTCACCGGTCGAATCTCACTGTGTTTCGTGGAGACCGGTCCTTCGGGTGAGACCGTATAAACCGAGGACCCGTGTCTCAGTAGATGCTAGCACGAAAAAGATCCCTTACTGCTCAATGGCCCTGAGTGCCGAGTATAGGAAAATATTGTAGCTCTTCAAGGTCAAATGGTGGCGTATCCATATGAGTGAAAATTCTCTAGAGGGACGTTAAACAACATACACTCAATCAATAAAACATATGGAGATAACGAACAGTATTTAAGATCAAGAGTCCATAAATATGCAAAATATTAGCAGAGCAAACACGGACCTCCAAAACATCGGAGGTTGGATCGGGTGCCATGGGTAAGTGGGAATCCCCTGCCGACCGGCCACACCCGCCGTGTGCTCCTTGTCATGATATTTTATAAATGCTGAGCTTCAAGACAGAAACAGGAAAAACACAGAAACACTCAGCTTTAAAGAAAGTTAATTGCTTTAATTTGTCCGAAGCAATGTACGTCCGAAGCAAGGTTAACCCATCCTAAACTGTATATAGGGAAATTTTTGCCGTCGAATTATTTTTCCCATTTAAACCCTTCTCACAGCTGGGTGAATTTAAAATGTTTAAAATGGGGCAAAATAAAAAAAAACATTATTTATCCTGTTAACAGAAATGTAACTAGACGAATTTAATGCAGGGCAAAATTGTCTGCAAGTGTGAATTGGCGAAAATAAGATAAGGAAAAAATAAACCTATATATTTAGTATATCTTCCTTATAACAATTATCCCAGGATCATAATTTATTAAGCTTTAGTCCCTTTTTAATGTTTACCAGGATGGCTACACTTCCCTTCTTAAGCATTTGTTGATGCAAATCAATCATATTTCATGTGTGAACGGTGCATTGTTTGAACACCAAAAAAATAATAAGATCTTATCAGTATGAACCTACATGTAGCTAGAAAGACCTATATATGTATCTTCTGTAAAATATGTTTATTATAATAGACATTGTCGGATCAGATCTTCAATGTGACCCAAAGCCGAATAAAATTAGTGCATACACTATCTTTAGTTTACGCATATGGAAAGTCAATGTGTACAATATGAAAAAATCGTTAAAACCCCAAAACAATCGCTCCACAAAACGTACCCCACTATACATCTCCCTTATAATGTATAGTTATAACAAGTTATATTCGTTTAATTTAAGAATTATACGCGGCGATTAAAATATTCGCTGCATCGTCAGCTGCGGAGCTCGATTCAGCCATTGCTTATTATGACGTCACCCCCCCCCCCCAATGTTTGCCCCCAGCCCAAGATGACGGCCAATAACCTTGATAGGGTCTATTTGTTATGATAAGTGATATAATGTACAGGTATAAATTTCTGATATACCTAGCTCATGTCAGAGTTGTTTTATAATCACTAAAGCTGTATTAAAAGGTTAAAAAAAATCAATTATTTGTTAACTTGTGAAGTTTATATATTGTATGATAAATGCCCGAAAAAGAGGTGGAATGCAACATCAAGGTTGGTACTGCTACTAAAGAGAGCAATCCTAGGTCCATCCTTCTCGACCTGTGTCCAGTCAGATGACAGCTAGTGAGGATGCTTCAACCTATTATCAAACATAGATGTTCATGCAAGCCCCATTGCTATTGCAACCAAAATCTTAAGTGGAGCAAGTATCAATCAGGAAATATTTTGACTTCATTATAGGGGCTTCTGTAGCAGGCAGACATGTGGGTATTGTATATTTGCATAACAATGTAACTTTTGGGCACCACTTATCATCATGTTCCTTACAACAAGTATCAAAATATTTAAAGATTACAGAGATCAAAGTTCAGCCCAATTTATAAAGAAGGGATATATTTTTTAAGAGTATTGCATAAAAGTTTGGTCAACTTCCCTTCCCATTAAATCTTTGTATGTTACCAGTTTGTACTTTGTATAATCCTAAGTTCATGCAGGTACAGAGGATGATTGCTCATTTCTCATTTTCCCTGAGTCAATAGCATATTAAATATTTCATTGATCTATCTAGATGTGTGCTGCAGTAAGTGACATATTGACAAAATTGTACGGTATAGCTTTAACGTCTGGCAGACGTTTTGTTCCACCTGTTACATGTAACTGTATTATTATTAGTTCTTAAATGAGGTTGATACCATTAACGTTTATGACCTCAGAATGAATTTTTAAAGCTATCTGTTTAATTTACCCAAGGATGAATGAGTCACAATACATTATGGGCTACTACAAGTACACATACTTAAATTCCAATATTATAAATGGGTTACTACTAACCAGAGAACCTTAGAGAACCCTAATGATTTTTATGAATTTAGCGATTGTAAAAGAAATATTTATATTTTTAATCATTGAATACATACATGTATCATGCACATGTAAAAACAAAATTAAATTTGTTATAAATATGAGCAAGTGACTATGAAATATAATCTTCAGTTGCGGTCTTATAATGTAAAAATGAATCTCTACGGTTTATCCGGTGATGAAGTAACTATTTATGCAGTAAACCAACGAAAACCACGTGTCGCGGTAGACTGTCATGCTCTGAGACTCATTCACATTGATTGGAGAACCGTTCAACCGGTGTGTCAAAAAGATCGTCACGTATTGAAAATAATCTTCCATGTACACTGTAAGGCACTGTACCCGACCAGTTAAAAAAGGTAAACACTTACCTTCAATGTCACCATCCACGATTCCTATCTGACTGAGTGCAAGAAAAATTATGAGTTCCGACGGATGAGTTATGTGTTCCTCTTTTTGATTCTCTAGTCCGCTTCCC